TGAGGGAAGGTGTATGGCAGGTGTCCTTCTAAGACAAGCTGTGGGCACGGACACGCGGACGGGAGACCTGGGGCGGAGACGGCCCCCTGAGAGCTACGGAGAGAGGCCTCAGAGGAGCCAACCCCGCCGACACCTCCACCCGGGACTCGCTGTCTGCAGAGCCGTGAGACACAGAATGTGTTCTTCCAACCACTGGCAAGAGCAGAGACCACGCCGGGCCCGGAGGTGTCCAGGAGACTCCTTTGGGGCCACACCATAGCGAGGCAGACTGGCCCTCTGTTCTCTTTCGTGTGAAACAACTCTTACTACTTCTACATGCACATAAATAAAATATCAACTTGGAGAAACTCAGAGTAGCCGTTCAAGTCCATCTCTTCTAGGCCCCACTCCTGGTTCACATGACACAGGACAGGAAAGACGGCCACTGCCACTGCACGAGGGACGCTGGGACAAGTGCAGAACCACCTATGTGCATAAACATAGCAGGTGCACGCCTGCCCCCACACACACACTTGGCGAGCTGAGCCGCCTTTCAGGACCGAGCCCTTCCGTGGTAAGCAAAGGCCAGGGCCATCTGCACGCATGGACACAGGCGGAGCAGGGAGCCGGAGGGCTCAGTCCCTCTCTGTGCAAACAAGAAAGAGCTGGCCCTGTTCTCCTCCGCCTGAGGATTAGAGCATCCCCCATCCCCACGGCACTCTGGCCGAGGGGGCGGTGGCTTCCAGGAACAGAAGCAGGGCGATGCCTCCATGGGCACCTGGGGACTGGATTGAGCCCCTCGGAAGGGAGAGCCGTGGCGCTGCCTCTAGTAGTTTTCAGAGACGTCTTCGGGGCAGTGGGGAATGCAAAGCAATCCAAGCCGGTCCCACCCAGATGGGGATTAAACAAAGAGCTTCCTGCTGTCTGCTAGCTGCCCGTTTGGCACCCGTGGAGGGGCCAGCCGAGGACAAAGCTGTCAGGAGGAGGAACGACTTCGGAGAATCTGAGCTGGGTCAAGCCTCACCTGGAGCCCCGCCTCCTGCAGTCCTGGGCAGCTCCATGGGCCCAAGTCCCCGACAGCTCTGGTGTATAAGCCGTAAGAGCTCCGTCACTTCCAACCAAACGAATCCGGATGGATAGGAATCCCGAGTCCTGACTGTGTTTTTCCCGGTACAGGTCAAGCAGCCATGCCCTGCAATTCTCAGCTTTTCTCGGATTTTGCAATATGAGCAAAGACTTGGCCAGCTCAGCATCCCTAATCCAGAAACCTGAAACCCCTCGTGCTCCAAACTCTGGAGAGCAGCAAGTTTCAGATTTGGAAAACATTTGGGACTTTGGAGTATGAATGTTCAACCTATGCAAAGGGCTTCGAAAGGTTCGTGGCACAATGAAATTTAAAAATAGTATGCATTTCCATGACCTTCCTGAAGACGCCTCATATCTATACAATTAGCGCACAGGCAAACGTCGGTGTACGTTAGCAACACGATTTCTGAGGAGCCACAGCATCCTCCAAAGCCCGAGACTGTCGTCTACAGGAGAAGCAAGCCCACCAGCAAACAGCTGCAGTAACTGCGTCCAAACAGTCACAGAACTCCAACTACGACACCCACACTTCAGAGCACCACCGCCTCGTTCCAAGGAGCTCACGACGCGACGCTCACATGCGGGATCCCTACTCTGAGGACACTTGCGGCAAATGAGTCTTCTACTTTCTCAGCCACACGCGACACCCACCCCAGGGGAGGAGAAAACCACCCAGACTCTGCCTGAACACCACAAAGCTGGCGACGGGAAGATTCTGAACCAAATCTGAATGGAGACACTGAGCGGAAAGACAAAAAGTTTGGAAGTCCAACCCACCACTTAAAAACCGAAGACCACTTCAAGATAGCCAAAACACCAAACTCTCACCAAAAAAAAAAAAAAAAAAAGGCTTGCACATTGCACACTTTCATGCCAAGTTCCAACCTGGAGTCCTGTTTTATGGACCAGTTTATAAGGTCTTAAAAATAAAGAGCTAGAAGGCAAGAGGAGCAGCCTGTCCCCCCACCAGGAGCCCCCGGACGACTGCAGGTACAAGCTGAGTGTCACCAAGGGAAGGAGGCAGCTCCTTCTCTGTAAAACCCCCCTGCCCCAGACAATACCGGGCTCACCCACACGCAGCTCCCGCGTAGACAGAGAGGCTCCTGAGGGAAGAGGGGGTGCCAGGCTCCCCCTGCCTCTGGCCACGTCCAAGGTGAGCCAAACACAAGGTCAACCACACAGAGAACAGGTTCCCACGGGAAACCTCGGGTTAATCTGATCACGCTTGCTAGGAAGCGTCAACCACGGGTTCTGCTGGAGCCTCAGCAAGTTAATTTTCCTGACTTCTAAATGCCCAGTGGTTGAAACCTAATCCAAACTGCATGAGGCCTAATGGACTTATCAGCTAAGCCTGTCAAACGGCCAAGGCGTCCTTCTCAGCTCAGCAACAGGCGCCGAGTATCTCCTGCGAAGCAAGAGAACCAGGAGCAGAGATCCCCGTCCTGTGGCTGCGATGCCACCCGGTGCAGAGCCAGACTCTGGCGCCACCTTAAAGACGCACTGCTGCACCTCTCCGCGCGCTGCTGCGAGGCCTGGGCAGGGACTTAGCGAAGCAGCTTCGGGAATTTCTCTCTGCAGCCTTGCACGGCTGCTCTCGTTTTACCTCAGTTGCCATAGCATGCACCCAACCCTCGGTTCTTTTTAATTATTATTTTATCTAACGCACTAAACAAGCCATCAAAAGGGTGCCCCGAAACCAGCCCGAGGGACAGAAGTGCAAACACAGGAACCCTCGCTGTCCCCTCCAAAGGTGGACGGCAGCCACGAGACGAAACTCCCGTCTCATCTGCACGCACACCCGTTCCTGCGTTCAGGGAAGCACTGGGGACCGCTGGCTTGGGTGGAGGAAGAGGAGGAGGCAGGCTCAGCTCCAGGCCCTGGGGAAGGATCTCACCCACTCCCACAGGCACCCACCCCGGGCTCTGTGCTCATCAGCAGTCCTCAGCACAGGGCTTCCAACAGCAGCTGGGGGTGCTGTCACATCAGTGCACCCAGGCGGGAGGAGCGGACAGCCCCCTGCTGATGTCCTAGCCAAATCCTCTTGCCTCGGACCCCAATGTCCAGGTCAACAGCAAGATCATAGGGGACAAGGCCACTGAGACTGCACCCTGGCGTCAACCAGCCAGCCAGACCTAGCAAGACCTCTGCTCCCCGAACTGCCTGCTTTTCCTTAGGAGTAACGCTATGCCAGGGTCCATCTGCCCCGCACTATGTCAGGGTGCAGAGAGGAACAGATTACTCCTGCCCCAGTCTGGTACCTCCTCACCCACAGCCGAGGCTACAGGGAGGCTGAGCCGTGACCAGGCTGAGCTGCAAGCCTTGTTTATACGCAAGGTTATTCCACGCTCATGACAGAATCAGCGCTTCTCCAAGGTCACGGAAATGCCACACCGAGACCTGCTACCTCTGCACACAGACAGCTCCTGACACCACAAAAGGTCAGGGCGGGGTCGCGAGATCTGCTAGGAGGAAGTTAGCCTGTGAGCACGGGGTGATCCCACTTTCTGGGGGGCACTCGCAGGCAGACAGCTGTGACACGGCACCATGAAGGGCCCTTCAGCACCTGCAGCTGCTCAAACAAGCGCAGGACGTAAACGCCTGGATTCCCCACTCTACGCTGCGTCACAGAATCGGCTTTAAAAACACCGATGCCCTGGGGCTGGCGCTGCGGCGCAGAGGGCTAAGCCACCACTGTGACACCAGCGTCCCACAGCCGAGCATCGGCTGGTTCGAGCCCTGGCTGCTCCGCTTCTGATCCACCTTCCTGCTAACGCACCCGAGAGGCAGTGGAGGATAACCCGAGTGCCTGGGCCCCAGCACCACAGCGGAGACTTTTTTGGCCTGGCCCCGACCTGGTCATTGCAGCCATTTGAGTAGTGACCCAGCAGATGGAACATCAATCTCTCTCCATCTCTCTCCCCCCCTCCCTCTATGGCTGTGCCTTTACAACGAGTGAGTAAATCTCAAACAGGACACGCTGACACCCAGTCACCACCCTGACACCCAGTCACCACCCAGACCAGTCACATCTGGGTCTTAGGGGAAGGTCACGGTGCGGCACTTTTTTTTTTTTTTTTTTTGACAGGCAGAGTTAGACAGTGAGAGAGAGAGAGAGAAAGGTCTTCCTTTTCCATTGCTTCACCCCCCAAAATGGCCTCTACAGCTGGTGTGCTGCGCTGATCCGAAGCCAGGAGCCAGGTGCTTCCTTCTGGTCTCCCATGCGGGTGCAGGGCCCGAGGACCTGGGCCATCCTCCACTGCCTTCCCGGGCCACAGCAGAGAGCTGGACTGGAAGAGGAGCAACCGGGACAGGATCCAGCACCCCAACCGGGACTAGAACCCGGTGTGCTGGCGCTGCAGGCGGAGGATTAGCCTAGTGAGTCACGGCGCCGGCCAGTGCAGCACTTTTTAAACACAACAGCAAGAGGGAGTCTATGAAGCTACAGAGGACCAGCCCCAGCCCGGAGTTTCCGATTCTGACTCTGGCCCGAGAGGTACCTTTCTACCAGGTTTCCAGGAGATGCTAATGCTGCAACCCAGAGACCTGCTCTGAGAACCGCTACAGTGATTCGTGGGGAGCCACAGCCAGGGCACAGAAGACACCTCGGTCACCAAGAGATGGCAGGGGCGACGTGGTCCCTAGTGTTGCAGCAGCCGTCTCCACTGTGTTCGCATGACACAGTGATCACCACACACGACCACGTGGGGAAGTCCGATCTGGAGCCCAGGACCTCGGGGCACGACACAGTGATCACCACACACGACTGCGTGGGGAAGTCCGATCTGGAGCTGAGGACTTCGAGGCACGACACAGTGATCACCACACACGACCGCGTGGAAAGTCCGATCTGGAGCCCAGGACTTTGGGGCACTTGGGACCAAAAGCTGCCAACTGTGCGTGCGCTCTCAGCCGGCCAAGCACTCGCCCAGACTCACCTGTTAGTACCTTGCAGAACCGCCCAGGTGCCTGGGCCCCGGTGGACCATGTGCGCCTGATCAGATGTTCTCGTCCGCTGAGTGGGCCCCGGGAGCTGTTGAGGGGCCGCAGCAGCACCTGCTCCTGCCCCAGCTGGATGAGGCCGACCTGCCCAGAAAGGAGAGAACAGGGCGTCGGTCACGCTCACGGCACCCGCCCTGGGCGGCAAGGCCACCTCCCCGCGGGCTCCCCCACAGCCGGGCTCTCGTCTCTGCCAACTGCTTAGACTTGCCTGAGCCCAAGAGCGAGTCTGGGTGACTGGAAGACAGCCCCCCAAGCCGTTGTGCTGAGGGGCAGGGGACAGGGACAAGGAGGGGAGGGGCGCAGAAAGCGCGAGGGAGATGTGCGCCAGGAAGGAACCAGGCATGGTTCTGCACCAAAAAACCATACCATTTCTCTTGCACAACACGCGTGAACTGCCCCATACAACAGCACCCACCACCCACCATTTGAAGTTTTCAGAAAGGCGGACAACTTCATTATCAACTGCTTCTAACTGTGCTTTTATTGACTTGAAAGGCAGAGTTAGAGAGCGGGAGAGACGGAAAAGATCTTCCATCGCTGGTTCGCTCTCTAAACAGCTGCAACAGTTGGAGCTGGGCCAGGCAGAAGCCAGGAGACAGGGAGGTCTCCCACGGGGCTACAGGGGCCCACGCACTTGGGCCACCTTCTGCTGCTCGCCCAGGCCATAGCAGAGAGCTGGACCAAAGTGGAGCAGCTGGCACCCGAACCAGCGCCCACATGGGAGGCCAGCACTCCAGGCCGCGGCTTAACCTGCTACACCACAACCCGGGCCCTCTTAAAATTATTTTAGAAATCATCCTTCGAAAGGACCACTTAAGGAAGTAACCCCAAGATTCTGAGGAACGCACGTCAGCCATGTGGATGCTCAGAACTAAATATAGACACAAGGAGGCCAGTCAGACTTGTAATCGTTTTATGATAGGATATTTCCACTTTTCCCCCCCAGAACTTGTAGTGTTTAAGAGAACTTGGCAGAGCATCTCATGGATTAGACCAGTGATTCTAGTTTAAAGTCTATCATTCTCTAGACTTGTGATTGCAAAATCGCGCTGGGTTTATAAGCAGTATTAAAATATATGAGAACTTAAGACTTCCCATGTTTATGAAACTGAGAGTTTATAAGAATTACTAGGTTCTTGTGAAAGGTTTGTATTTTTAATTAGACAACCAAAGAACTTGAAAATAAAACTGAATATGCTAAATTGCTAATGGCAGTTTTAAAAGTCATGACTCACCAAATTTGTGAATGGAGACAAACAGTGTTCAGCGTTGCCCTGGAAGTGATTACAGGCGTGGCTAAGACGCCACTTGGGATGCCCGCATGCCTACTGAGGGCCTGGGCTCGATCCAGGCTCCCCTTCAGCGCATGCACACCTGGGAGGCAGCAGGTGACGGCTCACGTAGCTGAGTCCCTGCCACCCACATGGGAGACCCAGACTGCGTTCCAGGCTCCTGGCTTCAGCCTGGCCCCGCGGTCAGCTGCTGTGGGCACTTGGGGTGCCAACCAGCAGGTGGAAGATCTCTTTCAAATAATTTTTTTAAAAATTAATTTTAAAAAATGTTAAAGGGGCCAGCGCTGTGGTGCGCTAGGTTGATCCTCCACCTGCAGTGCTGGCATCCCATACGGGTGCCGGTTCTAGTCCCGGCTGCTCCTCTTCCAATCTGTCTCTCTGCTGAGGCCTGGGAAAGCAGTGGAGGATGGCCCAAGTGCTTGGACCCCTGCATCTGCATGAGAGACCAGGAAGAAGCTCAGATCGGCGCAGCTCCGACCTTTGTGGCCATTTGGGGAGTGAACCAGCGGATGGAAGACCTTTCTCTCTGTCTCTCTCTCTCTGTAAGTCTACCTGTCAAATAAATAAATAAAATCTTTTTTAAAAAATGTTAAAGTGTTTGCAAAAGCTTGCTAGATACAATTTATATACTAAAGGAAAATACTGAAAACTAGGATTTTTGGCACTTTAACAAAGTCATTTTTTTTTTTGACAGGCAGAGTGGACAGTGTGTGTGAGAGAGAGAGAGAGAGAGAGAGAGAGAGAGAAAGGTCTTCCTTTTTTCCATTGATTCAGCCCCCAATGGCCACTGCAGCCGGCGCGCTGCGTTGATCCACAGCCAGGAGCCAGGTGCTTCTCCTGGTCTCCCACGTGGGTGCAGGGCCCAAGGACTTGGGCCATCCTCCACTGCACTCCTGGGTCACAGCAGAGAGCTGGCCTGGAAGAGGAGCAACTGGGACAGAATCCGGTGCCCCGAACAGGACTAGAACCCGGGGTGCTGGCACCGCAGGCGGAGGATTAGCCTATTGAGCTGCGGCTCCGGCCAACAGAGCGCATATTAACATGTATACACATTCTCTCTCGTCACGTGGAGTCAATGCCGGCATCATTAAAGCAATCTGCCCTCCTTGGCCAGGACACCTGCTGCCAGCTTCCCTGGACGGGAGTGAACAGAACAAGGCAACCCGCCCACCCCCCAGGGACCCGGCGTGCTGGCTGGGGAGGACGCCCGTGTGCACTGCTCCAAGCAGTCAACACCCCCTCCCCGGGCGTGACAGTCCCAGGCCACCTGTGCTCACTGTCAGCAATGGGGCGGATCGGTCCCAGGAGGTCAGGAAGAGCCTGCCTTCTCTACGTCTTGTACTGTCTCGTCTCTAGAGCCACAGCATACACAGCCAGAGGTTCTCGAACCCTGGCGTGCACCAAAGCCCCCTGGGGCCGTGGGTGAGACCGAATATTGCCCGTTTCCAGCAAGGGCCCACCCACACAGGTGCTGCAGGGCAAGGGACCACGGGGTGCGCAGCACTGCCCTCAGCATAGCATAGCCATCCCCTCCCCACCCCCACAAGGAGCTTGCTGACACGGTGCAACCCGGAACCCTCCGTGTCCTGGGACGACACGCCGGGACCAGCCCTCTTGGAAAGGGAATGAGATCAACCAGGAAGATCACCCCCAACCTCTCCTCCCCACGGCACGGGGGCATGAGACCATACCCACAGCTCTAAGCACCAGGTTTCCGTTTCATCAGAACTTGAGCCAAGAACTCAGATTTTACTGCCCAAATAAAACTGCCTCCAAGTGGCAGCGCTGACCCGAGGGAGGGCGAGGCTTCCTTCCTTCCCTCGGCTAGGAAGTGGGACTGGGATGCCTCCCCTCCACGCTCCAGGACACAAAAGGGATGGAGGGCGGCAGTGGGGGTGTTTGCTGGGCTCCACGGGGAGTGCAGGAGCCCACGGGCAGGTGACGGCAGGCAGGGAGCCCCGCGCCCCTCTCCCTGGGGGCTGGACCCTCCAGGACACCCGCAGCTACGGGTCACTGCAGGAGCTGGCCACTGCTTCGGTCTCCGGTGGGCATTACCAAGCCCCTCTACAAGAGGCATGCGCTCCAGTGTCAGCGTGTCAGGCGGTGTAATCACACCCATGCCCAGCGACGGTCCCCGGGGACAAGTCTTCCCCCATGAGGCCTTTCCTGGCGGAGGTCCCACACATTGCTGACACCCATTCAAGGAAAACAGCCGCACTGGTGGGAGAGATGTGTGGGGTGCTGGAACGTTCGCTCCCTGGCCACCGCGTGCCCCCTTGGCGCCTGAGCTTGAAGCAGGCATCTGCGCAGGACTGGCACCCAGGAGGCGGGGTCTGTGCAAAGCCCCCACCCTGAGGGGCGCCGGGCTGCAGTCTCGCTGAGCTGGCTTTCCTGGAGCTCTCTCACATGCATGGGGTGCACACAGCACCAGGGATAGAATGTCCGGTTGAAGGCAGCTACACGTGTCTTACACACATGTGCACATGTGTGCACACACGCAATCTCACCCAAAGCACCTGCCGGCCTTGTCACTCTCTCCTTGACCTCCCCTCCCCTGGTTACAGAACACCTTCCCAGCCCAGCAGTCGATTCCTTTTGGAGGGGATCAGAATCGTTTCTGATGCCACATCACAGTTCCTCCAACGGGAGCGGGCTGCCAGGGTGCCCCAGCGCAGCGGCTCTCGCCACCGGCTGCATCCTGGCATCATTCTGGAGCTCTGAGAACTCCAGATGCCCGGCACACCCCTGGCCTCCGGCACGGAAACAGGCACTGGCCCACTCGGAGATCCCAACGCACAGCCAGGGGCAGCCACCACTGCCCTGGCTCTCAGCTGGACGCAGGAGAACCTGGTGGCCTACTGTTCTGACCCTAGTGTCTGAAGGCCCCCAGAACTGGAAGTTCCTGCACGGTGCGCATCTGTCCACGGCCCTGGCTTCTAGCCCCTCGCCACCACGTGGCCTAGAGAGCTGGGCAGGGCTGCTTGGGTTTGTGTGGGACCCTCGGTCCCCAGGGACACCAGGAAGTGAGCCCTGGGGAAAGGCTCCTCCCAGGCCCCCCTCCCCCACCCCCAGAGGCTGCCGGGGTTGCAGTGAGGGGAGCAGCCTGCAGAGACCTAGCAACACAGAGGCGGCAGCAGACAGGGCCGGCAGCCCCGAGCCGCCTGGCCTTGGGGATACGATAATGTGCCTCTCCCTTTAAAGAGAAATCTGGAGTTTTGCAAGACACAAACGCTACAGCAGAAGGCTGGCCCTCCAACCGCCGGGAGGGGCCCTGCCTCCCCCAGAAGCAGCTCTCCCTGCAGCGGGTGGGTCCGGGGCTGCTCCGAACGTCAGCACGACGTCTCGGCCTAACAGGAAACGCACTGAAGACGCTGGACGGAAAGGCACTCCCATATACGTTCTGCAACTCAAGACGGACACTCCTTGGAGGAGACGAAGCCACTGGACTCTGCTGGGTCCCACAAGACCCCCCACGGCAGCCCGGTGCCCAGGGAGCCCGCCCTGCCTGGAGCTTGCTAGCCAGAGCAGGTCCCAGCCACCTCCCTGCACACAGGTGGTTGCAGAGGGCTGGGCCTACGGGCTGCTGCCATGGGGAAGGCAGGCGGGCTTCCGCCCCTCCTGCAGGAGCAGCATTCCCCGCCCGAGGCACCTCTGTAAACTGGAGACGCCCACACCGACACTGGTCTCCTCCCCTAGGGACCAGAGGGCCACTCGCTGCAGCGTCTCCCCTTACGGACCCCTGCACCGAGGCAGCCGGGCACACAGAGCAGCCGGTCCTCCTTCCTTAGCATGCCCGCCTCTGCCAGCCGAGGCTCGAGCCTGGGCACCAGGCACCCCAAACGCCCCTCCCTTCCCTCTCATCTCCCACACTGCTCAGCAGGTCTCCCCCAGCCTCCTCCGCTATGCCCAGCCTGCAGGCCTCAGAGCCCACCGCATTCCCCGGGAACCTGTGGCAAGGGACGTTCCCTCAGCCCTGCTCCATCAGAACACTGGCAGGGCAGAGGCCCGCGACCAGTGTACCGAGCCCTGACGCCAGCTCGCAGCTGAGAAACCTGCGCCAGGATCAAACTCCACACGCCCTGGGTGGGCTCCCGGGCTCTGCCCTACCTGACCTGCACACTTGGCTGGCTTGTCCACCTGCCTCCAGCCCCCGAAACAACCCTACCCCATCCCACAGCTGACTCCCGCATCCCTCACCTCGGGAGCACCTGGCCTGGGAGACCTGCCGTGGCTCCTCCTCCCTAAAACCCGACGGACTCCAGCCCCCTTTGCCACCTCAGTCCAGCCCCCGGAGCCTGTCCTTCCTTCCAGCCACCCGCGGGCTCCGGCACACCTTGCTTCCCTCGCGGATGGGGCCCACCTCTCTGAGCCTCGCCAGGAGCCCAGCAGGGCATCCTGCGGCCCCGCAGGTGCAGACAATAACCTGTGCCTGCAGGCAACAGGCTGACAACCTGCGTTCAATGCCTTCGCACGGAGGGCTCTCAGGGGGCGACTTCCCACCTTCTCATCCTCTGTGCTATCGGCAGCCACGCGAGGCTGCTCGCATCCAGCCCACCTGGGAGAGAAGTGACTCGCTCAGGATCCCAGCCCTGTGGCCGTGCAGTTCCAGCTCCTAGGGAACGAGGGTGTGGCTGTGCATGTGTGTGCAGGGCACAGGAGTGCGCACACCCTGAGAGGTCAGCCAGTGTCTGCAAGAGCAGCCCCCGTGGCACACACCCGAGGCCGGACAGCTGCAGGATCTCAGAGCTCAGGAAATGCGCTCCAAGAATGCAATCAGTCTTCGACGCCTTGCTCAGGTCATCCTCCCAGTGTGCACTTCTTGTTTCTAAATGCTGCCAACGAAACACAAGTTCAAAGTGGAGAAATCCACTTACAGGCCCGAGGTCAGGCTCAAGGGCAGCGGCGTGGAAGCAAGCCGGAGCCTGGCGTCCTGAGAGGTGTGGGCCTGGCTCTGCGGAGCTGCAGCGGGGAGGAGGAGCCAGCAAAGCCCGCGGGCCACAGGGGACGAAGGGCGTGGAGAAGCCGCCACGGGGCCACGGGGCCACGCTTTAATCCCCCCACGCGCCGCACCTGCCTCTGCCTTGGGCGCCCTCTGTGGTTTCCTTCCACGACACCCTGAAGGTGCTTTCTGTCCTCCAGATGCGATCATTCTTCTGCAACATGAAGCAGTCGTGCCCCCCCCCCCGCCCGCCCAGCCCCAGGTGCCTCCACAGCCTCCGAGCGCCGCTGAGGCTGGTCCTGCTCCGCGGCATGGGATCACGTGGTGCCGCTGTGAAGCTGGGCGCCCTCTCCGCCTTGGGGTTCATCACAGGAGCCGCGGCCGAGCAGGCCGCGCCCCAGCCGCGTCCAGTCTCGCCTGCACCACGCTTCTCTCTCCCATAAAAGAGGGGTGCGTCCAAAAGGAGGCGGCACGCAGAGCCTGAGCAGAAGCAGCACTACAGATGAGGTGACAGCCACGTGCTGGCCAGGCTGGCTGGGCCACCACGTTGTCCCCCTGTGAGAGCCCAGTGCTACATGGCCACGGCTCCGGCAGGGGCCGCAAGCGGGGGTCCCTGGGCTCCACTCAGTGCCCCTGGTGTGGCCTGGACAACGGACGTGGCTCCTCCAGCTCCTTGGTGGCCTCTGTCGGCCCCAACAGCTCACATGCAGCGTGCCCCTGGCTGGAGCCTGCTGAGTGGGCATCTGGGAGCCGCGGTCTCTGTGAAAGGACAGGTGCGCTCGGCGGACCAGACCCGACGGACGGCAGTGGCCTCCCGGCCGCTCCTCTCGGCTCACTCTCCCTGAAACAAGCCCTGCCCCCACCCGGACGAGCCACACCACACGGGGTCCTCTCAGCCCCTGAAGAGCCATCTGTGCTGCCCCTCCACCCGTGAACTTGAACTTGGAACACTTCTCAGCCCTTCAGCACCTGGGCCCGCTGATCGCAGGTCCACAGGCCCAGCAGGAGTGGAGGGACCTTTCTCCCGGGCCTGTGCTCACTGCGTTGGTATCGTACACGCAGAGAAACCTGCGCTGTGTCAGGAGACTCCCTGAAGTGCACACAACATGAAGACATGTAAACAGAGAACAGTGCACACGGGGACGTGGCCATCTCTGAAAATCCGAGAAGTGGAGCTGGCACAGCGTTTCAAGACAAGATAGAAAAGATGCCAGGGGCCCACGCCTCTGCCCGCCTATGCCTCACACCCTGCAAACAGCCAAACAGCTAACAGACGCCAGACCTCCCGGAGATGAACCGCACGGGCGCCACGCGCTGCGGGCCAGAGCCTGTGTTCCCCCTGCTAAGCCACCCTGGACACGTCCGACACGGCGGGACTCACCAACAATTACGATGACGCTCACCACCCAGCGAGCGAGAGGCTCCGTCGAGCGCGGCCACATCCGTCTGTTGATATACGGTCCATGACAGTGCTGAGTTGTCGTGACAAACACCGTATGGCCCGCAGAGCCTCAAATATTTACGCTCTGATCCGAAAGGGAGAAGCGGGCCAGCCCCTGAGGCGTGTCAAGTCTTCAGACTCAAGGGGGCTTCTGAAACGGCCCAGCCCCCAAAATCCACCGACTGGACACTGCTCGGTGCTGAGCCTGTCCTGGGCTACCTGGGCTGAGAACCTCAATCCGCGACCACTCGGGGAGCCCAAGTTCCTGCGCAACCAGGGGGTCCACTCCAAGCCAGCCCACCATCGCTCCCCGCCCGCCTCCGGCCCTGTGTGTACTTAGGGAGACCAGCAGCCGAAGTCCAGCTCACACCAGCGGGGTGAACAGGCAGACTAAACACCGGCAGCGTCTGCTCACGCAGGAATCTAACAGCTGAACTCCTGGAGGTCCCCCGGCAACTGGCACCGGGCGCAATCAGCCTCTTGGCTGGGTTCCTTTGTCTACAGCACAGCGCCCTCACATGGTGCCGCAGGGAAGGGCAGCTGTCCCGGGAACACCAGGGCCTGCACCCAGGGAGGATTTTTAAATCGGCGTTATCCACATCTCCACCCTGGCCTCCTCCACGGATCGCTCCCCGCTGGAAACTTTACACCACGAAATATAAACTCTGACCTCTACAGAAACTCACTAAACCGCAGCAAATGGGATTCAGATGTTACCATGTGATCTAGACTTTAAACACTCTGGCAAAAACAGGAAAAATGATGTGGGCTTCCAGTCCCTCCCAGAACATGATACAGCCTTGACCCGAGCCTGCAGCAATGGGGCCTCTCTCAGGCCTCCTCGCCCACCGCCCACGAGCCCTGCCCTGTGCCACCGCAGCTCCCGCCAGGGCTACAGTCTCACCAAAGCGGATCACCCCCTAGTCAGGACTCACAACCATCCCAAAAGGAGCAGTTGGCTGATCCTAGGAACCAGCCAGTGTCTCCCCCCTCCCCGCCCCCACAGAGCTGGGAAGAAACAGCCTCCCATAAAGCTTGAACCCTGGGGCTTCCCAGGTTCTGTCTGCAGCAGATACAAAGGGCAAGGCCTGGAGAATGCTAGATGTGGCACCAGATAAGGGGAGGTGGCTGGGAGTCTGGGCCAGGGCAGACACAAAGCCCTATCAGAAACTGGTTCCCCTGGGGGAGTGAGACAGCCCCTGCTTTCAGCTCTGTGCTGATACCAGGCTTTGCAAGGGTGGCCCATCTGCCGGCCATGTGTGCTCCCTGGAGGCCGCGCGGGAGAAGCTGAGGAGGCTTTGGCTGGGCACCAGGGTAGCCAAGTGATGGAGCGACAGCATGGGCAGGACCACAGCCCAGGAGCCCTCCAGGCCAAGGACAACCTGTCACGGGGCTGCCGGTGCAGCACAGCAGGGTCCGGGGTCTGCAGTGGGGTGGCCGCCAAACACCTGCCCACCGTGTAAAGAGGAGAGGCCCCGACAGCCCCGCCTCTCCCGTTCTTTCAACTTAGAAAAAGAGACCTGTCACCTCTCTGGGACCGCCTCCCCCAGACCCTTGGCCAGGTGCCAAAGACTCAAGGGGTCAAGCCAGGAGGTACACCCAGCACCGCCCAACTCCACGACCAACAACAGACTAGCCATACACATCCCACGCAAGTGGTCCCCTTGACACGCACACACCTGTGCACACGCGGTGTTCTCGACACCTGGACTAGCTCAGCCCCCTGGGCAACCCCAGCACGCGGAGGCCATCAGACGCCCGCCCTCCTGCCCCGCAGGCTCACGGCCCCTCCAGAGGTTGGTAGGGAAGAGCATCGCTCACTTCGGGCCCCCAGACCCCCGTTGAGACCCCCACCCCGGGCCTCCCAAAGGCCCCTACTGGCAGACGAGGGGAGGGGACGGGGGGGGGGGGCTGGGGCAGTACCAGGCCGCCGGCGGCGCCGCAGGCGCTGAGCGAGACCAGGGAGCCGGGGTGGCCGAGCACGCGGCCGGAGTAGAAGCACAGGTCGGCCGGGCGTCCGCCGCGCCGGGTCGCGCCCGCCTCCTCCACCTCGAAGCCTCGGGATAGGAAGCGCACGTCCCGGCGCAGCTGCAGGTACAGGTCGCGCCCGAAGGCCGGCAGGTGCAGCAGCAGGGCGCGCTCCCCGGGCCGGGGGCGCGGGGCGGCGGGGGGCGTGCGGGGGCGCCGCCGCCGTCGGGGTCCCGCGGCGCCGGGCAGCGACAGCAGGTGCACGTCGTCCGGGCGCACCCGCCGAGGCAGCACCACCTCCACGTCGGCGGCCGCGTCGCCGACAGCTGCGGGAGAGAGGACAGGCGTCAGCGCCCTGGCGACGGCCCGCCCCCGTCCTCGGCCTCCCGCCAGGCCCCCCCCCGCCCGGGCCGGGGCCGGACACTGCGACCCGCAGCGGGCGGCCCCTGCCTGCCCTCCCCGCGCGCCACCCGGACCGAGTCCCCGGCGTGCCCGCCCGCCCGCCCCGGGCGCTGTCAGCCATCCGAGCCCCGGCAGCGGCCAGAGGCGGCGGCGGGAGACGGGCCGCTACCTGTGCCCGAGTCCAGCCCCCAGAGCAGCAGCAGCAGCAGGGGCAGGACGAGAGGAGGCAGCAGGGCGCCGTCGCACATGGTACTCGGCACCCGCGGCCCCGGCCGCGGCGGCGGAGCGGGAGCGCGCGAGGCGGCGGCGGCGGCGGCGGCGGCGCCAGCCCAAGTGCAGCCCCGCAGCCTTCGGAAAAAGTAATCAGCGCTGCGGACAAACCCAACGCGGTCCGGCCCGAGCCCCGCCCCCTGCCCGGGACGCGGGCGGGGATTGGGCGCGCGCCGGCGTCCGCCCCGCCCCCTCCCCGCCCATTGGCCAGCGCGGGTGGAAGCCGCAGTGCGTGGTTAGGTTGTAAGCACTTTCTTACACGTGGTTTCTGGGCAGTAGCGCGGCCGCGGCGCCAGGGGGCGTGCGCGAGCCGACTGGGGCCGCGCGATGTGGACGCGGCGGGGTTGAATTCGGGCCGCTGCTCCGAGAGGGTCGTGGTGCGGGAAGTCGTCCCTGAGCCGGCGTCGCGGGAACGCGAGCCGGAGATCGCCCCGGCCAAGCGGCTTGCTCTGAGAAAGCATGTCTGCCGCCGCGGGCTCTGTGCGGGGCTGGGGGCGCACCTGAGCTTGCACCTGACGGCTGCGAGGTCCGCCAACCCCTCACACCTGCGCAGGGCCCGGGCGCGAGCGCCCCTCGCGTGCGTGGGGGCGGACGCTGGCAGCCCTGCGAGCCACACGAGCGGCGGACGGTGGGGAACCGGCCGCGGCCGCCGCACGGCCTCTCCACGCAGGCAGCCCCTCCTGGACCTCTGTGTCCCAGGCCTCGGAATCCCAATCCCGTGGCCGAAGCGTCAGCGGGGCCCGGGGCGCGGGACGCCCTGTGGGCGGGCGGGGGTACTCGCGCTGCCCCAGGCCGCCCCCTCCGGCTCCGGCCGGGCTCGGGCCGCTGCGCCCCCTCCCGGTGTCCAGCAGGCAGCCCAGGGCAGCGGGAGAGGCCGCACTGGCCCAGGGCGGCCACACTGTGCCCAGGACAGTCTCCTCTGCCTCGGGGGTCAGCGGGCGAGCTGCGGTCCGAGCGCCGCCCCTGCGGTTCCGTCCTGGCGCTGTCAGGTCCCGGAGCATCAGGGGCACAGCCACTGTGCGGGACCCCGGGCCTGGCCAGGGGGGCGGGGGGGGGGTCGAAAACCGCCCACCCCCAGCGCCTCACAAAGCAAAGCCCCGCAGCAGGCTGACTGTGCACCGATGGGCGGACGCCGTGAGCACGCGGATCCCGGACTGAAACCAAGGTCAGCGGTGGAGTTAGCAATCGGTGCGAATACGCGTACAGAATGACATATATATATAGTTGGCTACTTCACAAAGTTTGTGGAAAGCGCGATTCAAAGGTAGGTTTGGTGCAAACGGCTTTGGAATCTACAGATTTTTCATTTGTGCTTCCGTGAGCCCTGGGAGACCCCCTCATCCACACACCCAGGGCCATGCACACACGCACACACGCACGTGCACGGATACAGATGAGGGTATGTGAAGCGAAATCCAAGAGCAGCCGGGGGATAGGCAGCTCTCTTGGGGTCGCTGTTCTTTTCCTGTTACATTGTGTGCCAGGGAAAGAAGCCACGCCTATTACATTGTGTGCCAGGGAAAGAAGCCGCGTCGGGACAGCTGCTGCCTCTCGCCGTGTGTGTTGGGCCCTGAGACTGTGGCTCGAGCCACAAAGGGAGCCGAAGGCGGGGCCACACCTGGCCCTCAGCTGGGCCCCGCCCCCGGGCCCATGTCTCCCCCGCCCCGCCCCCGGGCACTGCGCAAGTCCCTGTTACCTTTGTCACAGTCGGTCTGGATCTGCCCAAGCAGTGCTGCCTTGGCCAGAGCCCTGTCCACACAGCCAGGCCAGCAACATCACCACTGCTGGTCCACCTCCTCATCCTCTGACCAGGGCGGGAGGCAACAGTGACAGCCGATGCTCACGGTGCCAGTGAGGGCCTTAGGGGACGGCGCGAGTCCCTCCCAGGGCAGCCCCTAGTGACCAGCCTTCCGCTCTGCCTCCTCAAGGCCCCACCGCCCCAACACCACCACACTAAGGACCCCGCGTCCAGCACGGGACACAAACAGTACCCAGCATTAGCAGTCAGCAGAGGGACGGGGCTTCCGGCTGGGTCGTGTGCTGGGTGGGAACCAGCGACTGAGCCCCGAGTCACTCGCGAAGCCCTGTGGAAAGGACACCAGTTTTCCAGAACCAGCTGGCCTGTCGCCGTGGCGGGGGGGGGGAGGGGCAGATCCTCCAGCCTTGGGCAAGCCTGGGGTGACTCCAACCTCCGGCCTCTGCATCTGTCCCTGACATGATGAGCAGAGACTGGCCGCTCTCAGCTGTCCTGGCTGAGCTGCAGACCAGGAAAATGTGAGAGAAGACAAATCACTATCACCGTCTTGAGTCACTAAGCTTGCAGATAACTGGTTCTGGGGCAGTAGCTAATAAGGGATCCGTGACGCGTGCTAAAATGAATCCTAAGAGAGGTAACGTGCTTGGTGGTGGCACGCGGGGGAACGCCGTCCGGAGCTCCGGGCACTCAGAGGCAGCCAGCAGGGTGGGCAGAGCTGGCTTCCCTGGGACGCACGGGGTGTGGATGCTCGGCCCGTGCCCATGTGTGTCGGGCACCTTCCGGCGGGAACCGAGGCTCTCAGGACCCAGAAGGTGGGCAGGAGCACTTTCTAAAAACCCAAAACAGCATAACAGGAAGAGACACAATAATACATGCTTGGCTCTGCAAAAAAAAAAAAAAAAAGTATTTTCACACTCATCATAATGTAAACACTGCAAGAGAACTTTGAGGATCAACCAGAGAGAAATTCCAGGATAGATCACTGTGGCTGCAGAATCAACGTGGACAGCTGTCATTCTTGGCTCATGTGAAGGTGAAAGATAGAAAACAGAGGAGGAGGGACGGGAGGAGAACAGAAAATGACAAAGTGCCGAGGGTCAGCGCTCTTGTCTTCCAAGGTGGTGAATCCCAAGCTACTGTGTATGGTTGCTAAGATACGAAACAAATGTCTCCAGAAGTGGTCCATCAGAGAAGCGAAATGTTCTTACTGGGGTCAAGGTGAGGTGCATCCTTATCCATTGTAGGGGTGAGTTAATTGATCTAATTTGCATACACAAAGATATTGGTGTAAGAATCATTTTTTAATGACATGGAGAAAACCACCAGAACTAAAGCCAGAAACAGTTGAAAGCGTCGCTTCCTAGGAGGGAGGCAGGGGCAGGAGAGAGCTGGGCTCGGAGGTCATTTCCCGCGGCAGGAACTTCTGTGTCGCTTGCTTTCTTCAACTGTCGAGTGTGGCATTTTGAAAAAAATTAATAAACATGTGAACGATTCCAAGGCGGTTCCACTCCGCTGTGGTTGGAATGAGTCTCCCAGAGCTCATGTGGCGCAAATTCAGTCCTCAGTTTTACGACTAGGCTGACATTGGTAGGACATAATATTCACAAATAAACTACTAAATCCTGACAATAGCCCGGTGAATATGAAAGTAGCCTCTCGCTAACAGGTGGGGAAAGGGAGCCGAGAGGCGCTAAGGATTTACCCGGGGGGGCTTCGGTTATTCCCCTAAGAGTTATCAGGTCTTAAATCATTTCCATTGCTCGCAAATGCCCCACGAGGCGGAAAGCCCCACCTGGTGGATGAAGATGTCCTAGCAACCTCTCCGTGGTTCCAGGACCGCAGTGGATGAGCTCGGGTCCCGCCCCCTTCCTGCTTCGCGGCTTTCCCTGCGGGCACTGGTGGCCATCCACGTGTCCGTCCAAGAACTGGAAGGGCAGGTGGCTGAGACGCGAAGGCGGCACGAACATCGCCAAGGGCAACAGCACAGCCGGGTGAGCACTGGCTCGGCAGCGGGGGGGCTGGAGCCGACCCAGATCCTGGGCACCAGAGCCACGCCCTCTGTCCCTAAGGGGGAAGCGGGAGGAGAGGAGGAAGTCCGACTTGGCTCTGCAGGGAAGCAGCCGGTGTGGGACCCTGTCTCTCCATAGTCACGTACAGTGTTCTCATTCTAGATCCTCAGTTTTCTCATCTGTAAAGTGGGGTGAGCAAGGTCGTCTCCTTTTTGTGCTTGATTCAGACTTCCCTGGAAATGGGAACAAGGGGTTCAGAGGGCCCCGGGACTTTATGAACAGCTGGTTACTGTGACGGATTGTATGAAAAACTAAAGAAAATTATCCCGACTTGTTACAGAAGTTGTAAATGCATGAGACACTGTAGCGAGGATGACGGGCGCTGCACGGCGTTGCTTGTCTGTTGATACTGATTTTCATTTCTTTTCCAATTGCATCCTGCTGGGCAGACGCATGATGACGTTGCTGCTTACAGAATTCTGAAGACGAGTTCAAAGCTTGTGTGGAAGCGGGTTTGTCCAAGGCACACCTGTGCTAGCAACTGCCTCTCCTTTCAGCCCCCAAATCCCCCTTCAGAACTCGGCTCCGGGGCGTGGGGGCTGCGTCTCTACACACAGTACATCCCCCCCTCCCTTGCCAGTCAACTTCCCGTTAGGTTTGTCAGCGAGAACCATTAATAAGGAACCAAAATATAGAAAGAGGTGAAAGGGGAGGATTTCCTGTTTCCGGCCTCTGTGGGCAGCAGCTGACGGCTGAAGTACCAGCAAGACCCAGGTGATGGCCCTTTGATGGTCTTCCACCTCTTTCACCTGCTGGGCTCCCTCTGGGGAGGTCCCCACGCCCACTTGTCTGTGTGCCCTTCTTAGACGGCCCAGGACGAGGGGCCAGCCCTGTGGTGTAGTAGGTAAAGCCACCACCTGCCCTGACGCCAGCTTCCCATATGGGTGCCGAATCAACAGCCAGCTGCTCCACTTCCAATCCAGCTCCCTGCTAATGCACTAGGAAAGCGGTGGAAGATGACCCAAGCGCTTGGGCCCCTGCACCCACATAGGAAACCTAGGCTCCTGGCTTTGTCCTGGCTCAGCCTTGGCCATTGGCGCAATTTGGAGAGTGAACCAGCAGACGGACGGTCTCTCGCTCTTTTTCTGTTCATAACACTGACTTTCAAAGAAATAAATATTCTTTAAAAAAAAAAAAAAAAGAAGTCCCAGGACAAGCCACAGAACATTCCTCTTTTTAGTGGCACGAGTCACTGTCACCTGCCTAGAGCTTGGGGCCAGCCGTGCGGAGCCAGTCCCTGGG